AAAATGTACACTTTTATCTGAATCAAAAGGCCTGCCTGAGAACCTGGTTTTAAATGCAGTCCTCAATCGTTTTCAAAAGCGGTAGGTCAGACCTGAAAGCCAGCCTCCCTCCCAAACGGTTTTGGGCTTCGCTGTATTATTAGAAACAGTACAAGTGGTTTCCTACTTACTGTTCTATATTCTGAAGCCTGACCAAATCGAGGCGCCAGAGTGCCTGCAAGAAGGAAGCACAAACATTTAGCAGTATGGGATCAAGGTAAGGTATTGTTCATAATATATATATATTTTTAGTAAGTTCTTGCTATGGTGCCCAGGCTGGTCTTGAACTCCTGGGCTCAAGCGATCCTCCTCCCTAGGCCTCTCAAAGTGCTGGAATTTGAGGCGTGAGCCACCACGACCAGCCTCATTAGGATGTTTTAAAGTCCAGTTTGGGATTTATCCAGGCCACATCTTCTATTTTCCCCTCTAAGGCCTACTTTCTTTGAACTGTTCCCTTCCCACTTTCGCCAGAAAGGATATTCCTTCTTTTATGGCACTTCTCTCCACAAGCACATAGAAATAACAGTTGGTTCTGTTCTCTTTAGGTTTGATTGAGAAAGGACTTTGAAGCTATGGAATAAAAGTCGTGCTAGCGCACTGCAGCCTCAATTCCTGGTTTCAGGTGAACCTCCCACCTCAGCCTCCGGGGTAGCTGGGACTACCGGCCTGAGCCACGGCACCCGGCCCAGGAAGTAACCCTTAATTAATAGTTCATGATGTTCTTTTCCTTTGCAACTCGGGGTAACAAATACAAAATTTAATACAAGATAGGAGCATTTAAACTCCATTTTAAGAGAGGTGTCCAGTGTGATTAGACAAAAGCTCCTTTCTTGTCAGCATCCACCATTCCTCACTCCTGCCCATCTCCTGCCGGGGTCCCGTGGGGGCCATACCTTAAAACCCAACTCCTCATCTTGGGTGCCAGAAAATCTACTTTAACAGAGAAAGCCCCCTAGACAGCAGATGTCTCTTGGAGCTGGGAGCGAAGCCCAAGCAAGAACTAAAGAGGGTGGCTGACTCCACAAAGCCATCCCCACACCCCAGGGTTCGAGCTCCTCCACCTAGCAAGTACGCTGGGGAACCGCCAGTAACGGACGCGGGGGTACCGTCGCCGAGGCCGCCCGGAGTCGGGCAGGGGCCGCCGCCGGCGTGACTCCCTCTCCCGCGCTCCTCCGGAGGTCCTGGCTCGTCAGGATTGCTCCGAGCGCTACCTGCGAAAGTCACGGCCAGAAGCAGCAGAGCCCAACGCAGCATCGCCTGCGCCATCCTCCGCCGCCGGCCGTAGGACCCCTGCGCTCTGGAGCCTGCGCCACTCGCAGGGGGCGCACGCGGGCCGGCGCGCTGGGAGGACGGAGGGGCGGGGCGAGAGTGGGAGGAAGGGCCGCGGTAGGTGGCCGGGCAGGAGGGGCGGCGGGAAGAGGAGCCGGGAAGGGCCGGGGAAGAACCGGAAGAGCCGGGAAGAGGAAAGGTAGGAGGATGGCGGAGGGGGCCGTGGTAAAGGAGGGAGTCAGAGAGGTAGAGGAGGGGACGATTGTTCCCCCACTTCCTCTCCTCCCAGCCGAGATGAACCTCTCCCTCCAGCGTACAAGAACCTGTGAAAGTCCTAGGGAGCCCTCGTGGAGCTCTTNTACAGTGCACATACTTGTCTTTTCATATAGAGTATATCATTTAGTTTAATTTAATACAAGAAAAGACCCCACGGGATATATTATTATCCCTATGTTAGAGATGAGAAAAAAAGACTTGGAGAAGTTAAGTATGCTCAAGATCTCATGCCAGTAACTGAAAAAGTTGCACTTCTGTTTCAAAACCCAAGCTTGGAGTGTGGAGTTAGGAGAGAATGAGATTCACCTAAAGACAGAACCATAAGCCTCATTACCAGGAAAGAAAAACCATTTCTCTGTTTGTGTCTTTCCCCACGCATAAGGACCAAGAGCATGAAATGCAGCCCCTGAGTCTGCACCTTTCTGGTGGGAGCAGCTGCCTTAAACCTTGTGCAGACGTTTACTTCTCTCCTTCACAGCTTGGCTCTCTGCCCTTCCTCTCCCTCCTTCCCAAATGACAACCACAAAGAAAACAAACCATCAGATCACACCTCCACCCTCACACACACACTCAAATGCACACTCAGCCCATCCAGCGGGGTACAGGTGTCACTTTGGGGAGTATCAGAGTATTAATAGTTGCAAGGCAGGAATGTGGTAAGACTCAGTCTTCCCTAAATCACCTGCCTCAGCAGTTTGCCACTTCTCAGTGCGTACTTCCTACTTCCCTCCACAGAAAGCTCTTACCTGACATGACAGAGATGAGGCCCTAAAGGAGCTGAAGAGACTTTATGTCTATGGTCCTAAGTGAGCTGAAGAGACTTTATGTCTAGAGAATGTTTTGTTGAATCTGGAGCTAGAGGACAAGATTAACCTCTTTCACTTCTGAAAGTCTGGGAAAAAACTGGAAGAAAGTGACTTTTGGCAGATGTGGTGGCTCATGCCTGTAGTCCTAGGACTTTGGGAGGTTGAGGCAGGAGAATTGCTTGAACCCCAGAGGGGGAGCTTGCAGTAAGCTGAGATCGCACCATTGCACTCCAGCCTGGGAAACAGAGTGAGACTCCTTCCCCCAAAATAATAAATAGGTAAATAAATAAAGTAAATTTAAAAAAAAAGAAAAGAAGAGTTGACTATTGTGATATTGGTCTTTTATCTCTGATATTCTCTGAATATTCCTTCAGAGTCACACTCTGAGGGTCTTTGGAAGTGATGTCAAAAGATTTTTATGACAACTTAATTTGAATCAATATAATTATGTAAAATAAATGGAGCAAAAGCTTCAGGTAACATAAACACTTAGTGAAGATCATTGAGTCATAATATTTCAGCCTATATTATCTATTCTAGGGTGACACCAAGGGTACAGATTTGAGGCAACAGATGAGGATGTTTCTGTGACGGTTCAGGAGAGAGACGCTTTGAGAAAGACTGGATTTCATTGTGTTTCCAATATCACACAACATAAATGATCTCTTGGGTTTTTAGATCCAGGTGTACTATCTTCTTTGAACAGATTAATTAATTACTTTAATCATCTACTTTGTAAATATCATTTTGGGGGCATGCTCAGGTGGCAGACATGTTTGTAGGCACTAGATTAAATCAGTGAACAAGACAGAACAGAATCTTTTCCCAGAAGGAATTCATGTTTTAGAAAGAGTAGAAGCCATTCTAAGTAGGAGAAAGGGCAGGACAGAAATGCAGAGACAAACTTGGCTGTGATTTTATGAATACAGAGAGTGTGAAGATTAATTTTACATGTCAACCTAGCTGAGCCACAGGGCACTCAGATTTTTGGCCTAACATTATTCTGGGTGTTTCTCTGAAAGTGTTTTGAATGAGGTTATCATTTAGATTGGTGGGCTTTGGGCGAAGCAGATTATCCTCCATAAAATGGGTGGGTCTCATCCTTGAAGGCTGGAGTAGAGCAAAGGACCAGCTCCACTGAGCACAAAGAGATTCTCCAACAAACTGCCTTTAGACTTCATCTGCAACGTTGACTCTTCCTGGTTCTGTAGCAAAGGCTTTGGACTCAAACCACAACATCAGCTCTTCCTTGGGTCATCAGCCTGGAGGCCGCCTTGGAGATTTTGGACTTGCCAGCCTCCATAATTGCGTGAGAAATTTCTTTTCATATCTTTATATATTGTATTAGTCAGCGTTCTCCAGAGGGACAGAACCAACAGGACACAATTCCCAGGCGAAGTCCCATGATAGACCGTCTGCAGACTGGGGAAACAGATGAAGCTGGTACCATGGGACAGTACAAGTTTGAAAGCCTCAACACCACGGAAGCCTCTAGGGCAACCCTCAATCTGAAGCCAAAGTCCAAGAGCCACTGGGAGGCTGCTTGTGCAAATCCCTGAGTCCAAAGGCTGAAGAACCTCGGGTCTGATGTCCAAGGGCAGAAGGAGAGAAAGCCCAAGGGAGAGCAAGCAAGAAGACTCAGTAAGCAAGGTGCTTATCCTCCTTGTTCTGGCTGCTTTATTCTAGCCATGCTGGCAGCAGATTGGATGGTGCCTACCCACATTGAGGGTGGATATTCCCCTCCCAGTCCACTGACCCAAATATCAGTCTCTTCTGGCAATGTACTCACAGACACCCAGAAACAGGGCTTCAGTAGCCATCTAGGCATTCCTCAATCCACTCAGGTTGACACCAAACATTAACCATCATTCATAGATAGATACATAGACAGACAGACAGATAGATACACACACACATTCTACTGATTTTGTTTTTCTAAAAACTCTGACTAGTAATAGAGAAAAATAAAGCCAAAGGAAGAGAGGTAGGCAGGGGCTGTGCTGGGTGGGATTCTTTTTGGAGCTGGTGGGTAGTTTGTACTTTAATAAGTAGGCATTGAGGGGTTTGTCACAGGGTAATGTTAACATCTGGCTTACATTAAGCTCACTCAGGCTGCTGTGTGAAGAATGGATTAAGAGGCAAAAGTGCAAGTGTGGAGACCACAGAGGCAGTGCTGCAAGCCTCCAGGCAAGAGGTGGTGGCATGTTAAATGAAGGTTTAAGGAAATTCATTGGGCAGATGTCATCAGATTCAGGAAACATTCAGGAGTGGGTGCTGACAGAACAAACCTTGGATTTTGTATTTATTTTCAAATTTGAAAAACAAAGATTATTAGCTCTACACAAGATTACATCAATGGGGTAGATAATTAGGTTGTGACTCTGGCTCAGAAGGATCTATAGCCATTGTGTATACCTTAAAGAAAACAAAAGTAAAGTTTGTGTTTATTAATACCAAAGTAGATCTAAGGGTAATCAAAAAGCCCATGGTCAAGTGCTTTCCATGATATTTGTGCCTCAGCTTCCTCATCTGAAGAATGAGGATAATAATGGGGCCTATCTTTTTTGCTAATGGATTCATACACATACAGGGCTTGGAACTGTGCCAGGCATGTAGTGAGGATCATATATGTCTTAGTTGTTACCAGAATTGATATTCTTATTATTATCATAATAGTGATGATGATGATGGATAAAAGTCTAAAGCCAGGCAGACTTAGAATCAAAGCCCAAATACTACACAAATTAAGAGAGTCATCCTCTGGATTGATTATGAGCCCAGATTAAACAGACAGAGGCTTATGGGAACAGTGGAGGTAAACATATTCTGAGTCCTATCATCCCAGAAATAAACAGCTCAGAAGTCAGAAACACACACACACACACACACACACACACACA